GATGGCGGTTTGTTTTTATAACTCCCTTATTAAATATATGTTGTTTTATACGGCTTTATATTAATTAAAATAAATCATTTACTATTTTAAGATTAATATTATTAAATATTTAATGACATAAAAAATACTGTCAAATGTTTTTCTTGAAAACTTGGCTAGATATAATTTTCTATTTGTGTAATACTTTGAAAACAAGTTTCTATTTTATTTTTATTTACTAATATCTAATTATTTTTATTAAACAAACTATATGAATATTTAAAAATAAATCTTTTATTTTTCAAAAATCTAATCAAATCAAAAATCAGGTGTTTGAAATTGCATCTAGGATATCATCATTTGGCTGTGATTGTTAAGCATCAAGCCAAAATTACATTGTATGGTCATTAGGGTTGCCAACTCTAATTATTTTCAAACTGGAGAATTGCAATAATTCATGCCAAATTTCCTGGAGATTCCTGTAGAAAAATAATTTTGCTAAATTTGAGTAGGAGATCAGTATTTTGGATAATTTTTTAAAATACAAAACTCGTGATTATTGTAAGAATTTAAAACACATAATTTAAAACACATAATTTAAATAAAATTTTACACAATTTACTTTAAAAATTATTTTCTATATTAATTTGAAATTTGATCAATAAATTCTTTAACATTGTTTTTAACAGAAATTTTAATTTTAACATTTCTTATGATAACTTATCAATAATAATAATTATATAATTTCCGAAAGAAATCAATTAATAAATAAACTAGCAAAGTAGTTAATTATAGTAAAAACAATTGTTAATATTTCGCGAAGACTAAAACAATATTAGATTTTTAATGGTTAGGGTAATATTAATACAATTATTCTACATTTTCAAAATATACAGTGTGTTATATTATAAATAGACTCCAGGATTTAATGTGCAAGCTTTAACAGCAGATACTTTATTTTAAACTAACATAATTTTGGACATTGCAACTTATCTATCTTTACGAAAATGTATAATATATAACTTTGAATTTTTAAAACTTATTTCCTGGAGTTCCTTACCTTTAGGTCAGACCTCAAACTGGATCCTGGAGTCGAACCTCGATTCCTGGAGAATCCAGGCCAAAGCTGGAGGTTTGGCAACCCTAATGGTCATGCGGTATAGATACAGTTAATACTAATGCCGCAGTAATAATGCTATTTAGGTAGGTTATTTACATGATTAGAAAATAATTAAGTTGACCAGGGTTATATAAAAATAGGACACTTATCCTACCTATCATAAAGGGTATAAAAGTAGAAATTGTAATTGAATACTGAGGTGTCATTGAATATCATACCTGCGCCAACTACCTAGGACATAGACGTCCAAACTTGTAAAAATCCCCAAAATATTGTTTTATAATAATATTATTTTTGACTATTCAAAACACTAGTATTTTCTGATTTAAATGTGACTAAAATTTATATTGAAAACATTATTTATTAAACAGCGAAATAAATTTTTGAGATTTTTAGTATAAAACATACTGTACATATCTCAATCATAATCATAAAAATAATAATATAATAATAATAATAGTTATATTAACTGTAAGTATTGTTATTATCATTCACTTGTGTTGGACTTTCCGACATAAGCCGATATATGCGATACACATATAAACCAACGCCCAGACAATGAGGGCTATGGGACACCACATGAGCGCCGACTCATCGAAACCCATGGATTCAATCACATCTACTCCGGAGGTATAAGTAGTGGTCGATTGAGTGGTGTTTGTCGTGTTGGCGGACGACATGTTTCCCACATTTTGCCACTCGTTTACTAACACCGATTGGTAGCTGTAATAAAAGAATGACAAATACTTGGCCCAAACCAACCACCCTGGTAGTGTACTGAATAAAGAAATATGAAAAAAACATTTATTTACACCAATTATTGGTATTCAATAAAATACCCGCTATTTATGAAATATCCGCCCAATATAAGCAATGGTTGAATCACAGCCCCCAGTATTGCATTAGCTATTGACAGGTCCGGACATAGAGTGGATATCATGAGTCCTATATATATGATGTAAATTATTAGCACAAAACTTAACGAAGATCATTTTGGTGTAATCGTTGGATATTTTAATTTTCAATGAGGCACTTTTGGCATGTACTATGCTAGTGTAATAGATTAACAAACTGGCAAAATGTGGACAAATATTTATATGATAGTTCATGAGTATACCTGATAATTTAAATAAAAGCATGATTATGGGTTGCGTATGATTTTAAAGATTTTTCATTGGTAACGTATAAAAGTTAATACTAAATACTTATATACAGTTTATACTTTACTACATCCATAATCATGCATTTAATTAAATTTATCAGATATTATACGTAATAACCGAAATTCGTGGCGGGAAACCCAACAATGATAAGGACACCAAGGTAAATGAAAAATGCTCTTGCACTCAGATAGAAACCAACGACGAAATAAAGTGTCGTCGCAAAAATAATAGTCAGTATTGTATTTACAGCCAACTGTCCGCGAGTAAATGTACCAAAGTGATTATTGTTTTAATCAATTTGTTTGTTTAAAATGTACAAGCTTATTACTATACATTACCTGTAGAATAATCGTGGCCAGTATATATGGGAACAAAGCGTAGGTACGGTTGTGGTGTTCCCTACAAAGTACGGCCTCTTCGCCTACTAATGCCTATAATATAATAATAAATTACGTTTTCTAAACTAATACTACAATTTCCAATTCAATGTAATGAGTATGTAATGCCCCAAATGTGAACCTCAAACATCAATGAGTAATGGTAGTTGATAGATAACATAATAAACAATTATCATAAGTTACAAATAAAATAACAATATTGACCATGAGTGTAAGTATTGATTGGGTCATCACAAAGGTCTGGAGTATCATATTAAGCGCCCCATTGATATCATTGGTTATGGAGTAGTCGTAGCCCTTCCCGTAGTAGAATAGCCCGAATAGTATTGTCATCCACTATATGTGAAGAAAACACATTTGCATAATTAAAAAAGTGTGTATAAACTACGGTAATTGTAAGTTAATTGTATCAAATCGTAACCAGCATCGTAATGAAACGATCTCGCAGAAAACCGGGATTTCGCACGAATACAATGTATGAGCGCCACAATACAGTAACCATTTGTCGCCAGTAACCGGCCCTATAGTCCGACCCAAGTGTTGCCAAGTTTAACGTAGACATATGATTGCCATTATATTCAATTCGCATTGAATGTGGATAACTTGACTCGAGATAATTGTCACATATTTTCTATATATTAAGGATGGCTTAAATATAATTTGCCTGGATTAATGAATATTATAAAGTATTACATTGACTTTGCTTTTGGTGTGCGCATAATTATTGTCTATTATTGCTATTTTAGGGAATAAATGATATAAACTGATTGAAATCAAATAGACTCATACGAGTAAAACGAACCCAATTCCTGTAAATAATAATCCGATGGATTGTAGTTTTTCGGGCAAACCTATCAAATTGATTTGGATTTAAAAGTTAATGGTTTACGAAATAAATAATATTTATCGTATTATGATCTTGAATTTATAACCAATTATACTAACTTGGTACTCAAGACCATAGTTGATATGATTTAAGACGGTTTATAACCAATTATACTAACTTGGTACTCAAGATCAATTGCGAGAACTATTTATCATAACTTATTAATAATTAAACAACAGTATTGACATCAATCGACTGTTATTCATTCTCTTATAAACATAACTTACAATTTGTGTTTCCCAATGGATCAGTGCAAATACCTTGAGTCCAGACTATTATATTATTTAATAGAATATTCTTAAGATATTATTTATATTCTCTCATATAATCAACCTTTTACTGATTTTTCACAGCAAATAAAATCTTTGTTAAAATCTGTTACAATATTTTCGCACAAAACATTATTTTCAGTTCAGATTCTGTTAAAATATTTTCACACAAAATATTATTTTCAGTTCAGATTCTGTGTCTCCAATCCCTCCATCCCTTCCTTCCTTTGCAGTTGGAGTATATTCTTTGATAAGAATTTCCGTTGCCATTGGTTACGACTCAAGACTTCGTGCTGTAAGTCTGAGCGTACGTGATCTGCTTTTCAAAAGCTTTAAAAGGTTATACGACTTACTTCATTACAATAGTAATGTAATTACTTTAGAAATAAATGTATGTAAACATTATTAATTGCAAATACCGTTCCTTAGAATCTCTTTCGGAGTTTTATTGGTTTGAAAACAATTATAAATAGATTTCTGTGTTTTAGTCATCACTTGGATATTAGTCCACGAAATACACACCGAATGTATGGTCTCTCTCGACATACCATTCCTATTATCTCTTTCGGAGTTTTATTGGTTTGAAAACAATTATAAATAGATTTCTGTGTTTTAGTCATCACTTGGATATTAGTCCACGAAATACACACCGAATGTATGGTCTCTCTCGACATACCATTCCATAACAACCGTTAATAAAGGCTGTAAAGATAGTAAAATAAATAAAATTTTTACTTATTATTTTCAGAAAAATTTTGTTTCAGAATATAAATAAATTAATAATATAGTAAATAAAAATTATAATAGATTTAGGTGAAACAGAAAGTCCGTGGAATTTTTATCTTATCTTCTCATTTCAAAATACTGAGTCAGATGGATCTTGTGGTTGTTAATTATTGTAGACTAAGTAGTGTAGATTAGAATAAATGGCGTTACATTTAATTGCGTTCATCTATTTAGTTTTGGTGACCTTTTATATGAAGGCCCAAAATTTGGACGAACTTCGAGATAGTGTCATCCTCGAAGAACAAAAGGCTTTTATCAAGATAAATGTTTTACTTGATACATCACCTTGTGTAGTTTTAGCCCAACTACAAACCGCTCTCCCAAATACTGGTTTACAACAAAGTACAGTGTACAAATGGTATGGTGATTTTAGGGATGGAAAGCGAACCGATATCATTGGTTATGGAGTAGTCGTAGCCCTTCCCGTAGTAGAATAGCCCGAATAGTATTGTCATCCACTATATGT